CTTTGTGATTTTTTATCTCTTTTCTTTTTCAAGCATGTTTTTCTCAAAATTTACCCCTAGTATGAAGGGTGATCCTTGGTTGGGGTTTTTTAGAAAAGAAATCATAATAGGCTCAATAGGGGTAACAATGAATGGTAAAAGAAATATAGTCATTTTTCATTTCAAACATGAATGCTTTATTTGAAAATCATCTATTGAACAAAAACAAACTCATGAATTTGCATACCTTCACAACATATCTATTTCACATTTGCTAGCAACTAATTTCTTTTGCTCAAATAGTCTCTATAGATTGAACTTTATCAATATGAATGAGTTTTCAAAATTAAATCCTAAAATTATTGTTATCGTTGTCTAAACATTCATAATTTAGAATTTGAAAATAGGAATGAAAAGATATGAGAAATAATAAAGCATGGCATAATGGCTTGAATGAGAGAGCAAATGTAATGAAATTCATCAACTTGCCTTTTATTAAAATGATAACAAATGAAATCTTATTGTATAAAAGAAATCCTAATATTACTCTAGAAAAATCTTAAAATGACAAGTAACTCTCAACTAGTCTTAACATTCTTCTCAAAATTATGCCCTTGTATGATCCCAAAATTGAAGGATGGCTCTAATAAGATTATTGTCCATATCTACTTGGAAAGTGAAGCTATGTCTCCAGATTTGTTCTCAAATACCTCTTACCTTATTATACTTATACATCCCCAAACATTACTTAGGTTAGCTAGGTCATTTTGTTAGAGATCGAGATGAACTCTCTCAGGTAATGATGAGATAAAACCCTCAGGTAAGCAATTACCTTATTTTATTTGACCTTCATTTGACTTGATTTTTAACTACAGAGCGTATTCATAATGAACTGATGTAGACTTTGATTGCATTTGACTTTCATGGATATAGGTATAGGATCTGATTTATCAATGACTGATATGTGTTAAATATGATAATGAAAACGATGCATGATATGATAATGCAAGCATTAATTGAAATGATGCACAAAGTCAAACAAACAAAATGGTTCGATAATTAATATATCACACAAATTATTTCTTCTTATGTCATAATTTCAGGGTATATCTATCACTAGTACGAATGATTTTATCTTAAGGCCGGCCTCTTAAATGTAGATTATATGTAGGGTTAGGTGACTTCGAGCACTAAAGGTTCCTAAATTGTTCCTTACATTATTGTCTATCACAGATTAGTAAAACATTCTAATCCTCATCCATCATAGGCTATCAACAGAAAATATTCAATTTGAGTAGGAGCATTTGGCTAGCCATTGTGGAGATTATCATTTCACGAGAGCGTAGGTACTTTACTCTCTCTTAAGAGGGACGAAACCTGGGTATAAAGCTCGTGTAATGCAAATGCATGTGATAGTGTGTGTGAAGGAACATATAATTGTCAACCCTCATAAATAAAAGGTAGAAAAGAAAAACATTAGTAAACAAATAACATAATAATTACAACTTAAAACCATTAGACCAAAGGATAGGATAAATTTAAGAGTTTATGGCTTGACTCTCTATGGCCTTCCCTAGTGGAGTTGCCAAACTGTCATAACATATAAATCTAAAAATTTATAGCTAGACTTAACAAGAAGAGTCACTACCAATCTTTGTTAAATAGGTGTAATTGGCCACCCAATGAATCTATCAGTTTAAGGAGCTCCTAAGCTTGACTAAAGGTCTCTAAAAGAATAGGATCCGGTCAACTAATCAAAATAAGGTTTGGGAGTTCAGTTATATATGAAAAACGTTATAGCACCCTCACATAGCCATCCAAATAATGGTACCATTTTATTTTAAATTATCCCAAAGTCTTGATTCTAATGGTTTTAAATTTAATATTGAATATTAGAAATAATTCTTAAGATTTCTCCATCAATTTGGTAAATTTCTTAAAAATAACTCATTACCTTGAGAGTATTCAAGAATCTTGTTTGTTTTCTTGAAAAGGCTCCGTCATCAGAAAAAGGTTTGATCATTTTTATTTTGGTTTCTTTTTATTGAAAATAATCTAATTATTCCATCATTTGGGCCAAATTAGAAATATTTTCTCCTTTTAATTTCAAAATTTTCCACCATTTGGGCCTATTTAGAAATTCTTCTTTTTGATTTCTAATTTTTTCACCATTTGGGTCTATTTAGAAATTTTT